GGTACTCCCACTGAAGCAAATGGACAGAGGGAGACACTGCCGATGGAGAACTCCAAGGACACCTCGATCTCGGAGCCCCTTCCTTGGAAGCACACCACTGAGTGCGGCCAGATAGTGCCTATGTCCCTATTACCTCCTATAGGTTCCAGTTCCACCAATGGTCCTGACCCAGGGGAATTGCTACTATAGTTGGATATTGATATTGACAGCGAGGCTCTGCCTAATGGGGCCACTGATGGGTTCAAAGCAGTTCCATGGGAGAATCAGATCCTGATGCTCAAGAAGGTAGAGGCACTAAGGGAGGAGTTACTGGCCCTAGTCGAACCCTCTCAGCCCAAGAACACTCTTGAAGGCCTCTTGCTTCCTCAGGGGACAAGCATCTCCAACATTTCTAACTCCAGCAAGCCCTCTGTAAGGATCAACTCTTGCAAGGGCAGGACCCCGCAAAACAGAAACATACTCAGGCAGAGCCGCCTCCGGACGTGGTACTGCTCCCTGACATCTCATCTACTTACACACTTAATGGGCCTGCTGTCGTCAACCTCTCCACTGTCCACTGGTGCCCAGTCTATTGGAGCAGTTCAAGGATCACAGGATGACCAGTCAGGACATGGCAACAGGGGCTCCAGCAAATCCTCTCAGTCATTAATCCCCCCCTCAACAGCATAACATCAAAGAGACTAGGCAGAGCAAGGAACCACTGGCACCACTGCAAACATCCAGCCTCACTTCAAATTCAATCAATGTGAGCGTGGACATTCACAACCGCGTGAAACTCAGTGGCTGACCCATGGACCCACAGGCACTGCTAGAACCCTTGGCTACCCCTGCCATAGACAACTTATCCGGGATGAACCCTTATGCAGATGGCCTGCCGATGAACCTGATGGTGTGAGCCCCACCATTGTCTGCCAATTGACACACTGCCCACTCGCCCATCGATGGCCCCTCTGATGCCCTCAGATTGATCTCTTGGAATGTGGCTGGGTGGTACAGGACCCTGAGTTTACAGATCTTCTTTGAGGCTTTAACATTATCCTACTTCAAGAAACGTGGGCAGTTCATTCTGTCCTACTAGCAGGATATGCCTCAGTTGGCAGCACCAGTGTGGGACATAAATTGGTATTAGGAAAATACCTGGTGGCAGTGTGAAAGGGCGTGTTCCTTTGTGGGGCCCAAATAAATAGGGGCAACAAAGGGTAGATCGCCACAGTGCTCAATGTAGGACTGAGACCCTGGCTTGGCTCAGATTCTCTAAATACTGGGTCAGAATCTGCTACTTTTCAGCCCAGGACATCCTATTCAGTGTGGGACATAAATTGGTATTAGGAAAATACCTGGTGGCAGTGTGAAAGGGCGTGTTCCTTTGTGGGGCCCAAATAAATAGGGGCAACAAAGGGTAGATCGCCACAGTGCTCAATGTAGGACTGAGACCCTGGCTTGGCTCAGATTCTCTAAATACTGGGTCAGAATCTGCTACTTTTCAGCCCAGGACATCCTATTCCAAGCACTGCTTTCTGGCAGTGTATTCCCAAAAGGTTTGACCCTATTTCTCAAGAAAATCAAGACCCCGGGGTTGTCACCAGATCTGCTGGGTTCAATACCTCTATCCCAAGTATTCCATACAATCAAAAATTGAGTTCTGGATATTGAGGGGCAAAACCTGCATAGCACTGTGCAAAGGGTCTGTTCCACACTATAATTTCACTATAATTCCTCCCATGACAGAAGACCAAATTACTTCTATCTCTTAGACTTCTTATACAAGAAGCAATTTTTGCTGCAGTGTTTATTTATTGAACAAGCAATTTTCTGTATGAGCAATAAAAAATAAAACCTAGGATAAAACCAGCAGCAAAGTATCTGAAAGCACTAAAAGCAGGTCCAAAAATGCCCAAGAAAAAAAAGGTCTTCAACTGGCACGGAAGTGCCTGGTAAATCTTCTGGTATGGACAGTCCATAGAACGGTGTTGGCATTGAAAAACCTCTCTTGAAGCCACCTTTGTGACTCAGTTCGCAGGTCACCTGGTTTACCTTAGAGTCTAAGCTAAGTAGCAGCTTGACAACACTATTCTAATCCCTGTGCTTTCATGTACAATGCCATTCTTGTACCCAGGATGAAGACCTCCTTGGTTGCTCATCAGCAACAGGAAACGCTCCCTTCATGGACACTCCATCATGTCCAGCTGTACCATATGAAAAAGAAAAAAGCCTATTCAGACTACATGTACAGAATCCTTAAGCAGGTAATTGTCTAAAAACCATCCTCCAACCTGGAGGGCACAGGACTTGGAAAGTCTGCTGTAGGACATTGTGTCTAATGTTTTGATCTAGCCCTGCTAATCCATATGCCTTTTGTATGACAGGTTCCTCAAGGAACAAATAAATACTGTGGTGCACTAGATATGCTTCGCTCCCTAAACAAACCTCATCTATATGGAAAGGTGGCTTTGGAGGCCTCAAGGATGTCCCACTATAACAAGAAGCATCTAATCACCAGCAGAGAAGTTCATGTGGCAGTAAGAGTAGTCCTTCTTGTGGAGGCCTTGAAGGGCAGTTTGTTCTCAACCAAACATGTAAATTCTGCATGAAATAAGTTCTGCTCAAATTCTGGAAAGCTATTTTTAAAACTGACTACTTTTTTCATCTCATTTTTTGTAATAAAGGCATGTTTGACAGCTGATTGAATGGCTCATGGATTGTTTGTTGGGAATAAGGCACAAATAGTTTAATCACAGCTGACCAAGATGTTAATAATAACTGGGTGCTGTCAATTCTGACTTACAGCAACCATTTTCAAGGTTTTGTAGGTAGACAATACTCAGAAGTAGTTTACCATTCCCTTCTTCTGGGGGCCTGGTGGGACAGTGCAGCTTGTCCAAGGTCACACAGGTTGGCTGTCCTGGGATGCACAGTGGAAACTTAACTCCTAACCTCTGACCCCAGATACAGTGGTGCCTCACTTGACGACGTTAATCCGTTCCAGCAAAATCATTGTAGAGTGAAATCGTCGTCAAGCGAAAGTAAAAAGCCAATTAGAATGCATTAGAAACTGGTTAATGCGTTCTAATGGGCGAAATACCTCATCGTAAAGTGAAGATCCTCCATAGGGCAGCCATTTTCCGGTGCCTGTAGAGTGAAGAATCTGTCTCTAACACAGCGGGGAGCCATTCTGGAAACCCGACAATCAGCTGTTTTGACCATCGTTAAGCGAAAAATCGGTTCCCAAAGCAGGGAATCGATCATCGTAAAGCAGATTTTCCCCATAGACACATCATTTTGTGATCGCAGTAGCGATCGCAAAAACCTCATTGTACAGTGGATTCATCATACAGCAAGGTAATCGTCAAGCGGGGTGCCACTGTACCTGAGTCAAAGGTAGTTGTCAAGCGGGGTGCCACTGTACCTGAGTCACTGAGGTATCCATCCAGCTGACCTAAATGTTGCAATTTGGAAAACCACAGTGAACTACAGTTGTCCTAATTTGCCTGCCTGGCAGATGGGGTTCCATGCAGGAGGGAAAAAATGGCTGGAATCCTAAGGGTGTTCATATAAGTTTTACATAATTTGTGGTGGCTAAAGGTAATCTTAGCCAGAAATTCAAAACTCTGCAGCATCTTCTTATCTCTACATAATATTTTTAATTTTGGTCCAAATGATTATTTTTCCCTAGACTGAATCTGTTTTTTATATATATATATATAACAACTGCCATGTTTCTGGGTGTTTTCACTCCCCAGCCAAAGGTGTATGCTTGATATAATGCAGCATAGAAAGAACTGTGATTGGTAGGTATGTTTTTGGACTACAACTTCCAGAATTCCCAAGGCCACTACAGTCAAGAAACAAAAATCTATATACCTCTAGACTATAGAGAGAGAAAATGCCAATTGGTTTTGCATCCTTTGAACTGAAACCTAACACTTCATACTGTGACTACAAGTTTGCAGCGTTCATCCTCTGACTTTAACTCAGATTCTGAAGCATCAACATCTGGCTATGATGACTTTTTAACATTCCAGTCCCTCCCACTCCCCAGCTCTGCAATGCTTCACCTGAAAAAGTATTGCAGGACTAGACAGCTTCCAATTGAGGGTTATTAGGGGACAACTACATTGGCTATTTACCTTGCAATTTACATTAGGCATTGATGAATTTGAATGAAAACTCAGCGATGAGCTATCTCTGGAGGCAAAAAGCATGAAACTGAGGTTGTTATACAGTACTTTGGACACATGATGAGAAGGCAAGGTTCTCTGGGAAAAACAACGCTGGGAAAGGTGGAAGGCAGCAAGAAAAGAGGACCATGAGATGGATTGAATTCCTGAAGGAACCCAGCAGCATGAATTTACAAGAGCTGAACAGGACTGTTGAGGAAAGGAACCCAGCAGCATGAATTTACCAGAGCTGAACAGGACTGTTGAGGACAGGGTTGTAAGGAGGAAGAAGTGGCTATAGAGAATCCAGTGTTTTCCAAGGAAACAAAACTCAACATTCCGATTGTAAGGAGGAAGAAACGGCTATAGAGAATCCAATGTTTTCCAAGGAAACAAAACTCAACATTCCTTAGAGATAAGCTGCTCTGCACATGGGTAACTGCTTTGCTGAGATGCCAGAAATTGTAACCAATGCATATATTCATCAAGGACCGATCAACTGCTGCAGACTTTAGTTCCTTTTTTTTAATTGTATACAGACTTGAACGCTATTGATCTCAGGATCCCCACCCTGCTGGGCACCCACGTGCACACTTCTTTTATCTGAATAAACCGGTTGCCCTTTCCTCCAAGAAATTGTCCGCTTACTACTATCGCCTTGGCTTAATAGAATCAGCCAGGATACCCAGCTCCCTGAGTAACAAAACACTCGAAGCCAGGGGCGCCATAAATTGGAGAGAACTTGACGTCACATAACAACAATAAGGGAGCTTTCAAGGCATTGGGCACTCACGCTGTCAGTCACCAGAGATGGGTGAGCGGGAGAAGAAGGATTGCTGGCCTATGGAATTAAGGGAAAAGCTGAGGATCAAAGCCAGAACTTTAGTTTCTCCTTCCCCCGAACGTAGGGGCGGGACAGAACGTCCTCTGCCATTTTATTGGTGCGAGGGAGGAGAACGTGTGATCGGCGAAAATGATTGGCTAAGCTAGCGGAGGGGGGAGTGTTTAAAGTCTGGGAATTTCGCGCTAAAACTAATTTCTCTTTGTGCTCGTATCGTCGCTACTCCAGGTAGGTAGCAATAGCTTATAATAACGGAGGATTTTATTTGAAAAAAAAAGCGTGACATTGCAATGCTGACAAACCTTGTAGAAGGGCTTGAGGTGGGTGTTTCCTAGTCAACTATACACCGAGAAAACTAAAAAGCCCTGAGGTGTTTGTGCACACCGAGAACTCCCGGTGGTGAAGTCAGTACGGAGGGCTGTGGACGATTGAAATTGAAAAGCAGTGCCGTCTGGTGGCCTCTCCGACCTCAGTCCCGGCCATGAACTTTTGGGTACGGGACTCAAACCCGCCTTGGCCGCCTGGACTGGCCGGGAATCGAGCTCGGAGCGCAACATGCCCATCTGTAGGGTTGTGAGTGGGAGTCGAGGAGGAGGAGGAGGAGGAGTTCGGGACCGGGGCCTTCTCCAAGTTCTGTTGCAGTAGTAAAGAACTAGGAGGATACCAAGAAATCGCCATCGCCCCTCTTCCAGTTCTGTTTCTTCTGGGGTGTGTGGTCTTTACGGGTTTTTTTCTTCTGCGACTTGATGCTATAATGACACAATGGAGGTTCAGACTTGCTAGGAAGTTCAATCTAGACATGCAGCGTTACACTTTTTGTGGCATGTTCCGATGTTCTTGGGGGGGGGAGAACGCCGCCCAAAGACATCTGTCTTACTGAACAAGAACTCTGATCCACAAATCTGGCCATGGGTGTTGCGACTTGATGTTTTGTGTGTGTGTGTGTGCGCGCGCGCGAAGCGCGGGTTTCTAATACCTGATCTGGTAACGAGTCCTTCGAAACAGAAAGTTAACTTATGCATGTGATAGGTTTAATAAAACTATCGGCCTCGTTCCTTTAGGATGATGGAGAGCTGATTGCATTCTGTGGCTCAGAGTGAACATAATTTATGTTCATATAGCCGTTATAAGAAATATAATGGACAAGGAAGTCTAAGAGAGGGAGAAGGGATGGGTGATTTGCCTTGAAATTTAAATATGCTGCTTTTGAAAACTACAGACATAAGGGGAGCGTATGGTACCTCTAAGTCTGTATTGCTAGACTCCTTAAGCTGTTTGAGACCGTTCCCAATGAGAACGTAGACATATTAATTATGAGGGACCTTGGGTTGTGTGTTAAGTAGTGTTAACAATTGAAAACAGTGCTTGATGAAAGAAAGTTGAAAGACAAACTCAGGAGTTGATCAAAATCAAAATAACAGAAGCTTAGTTGGCACCTACATTGCACTTTAGCAAAATTATCAGGAAGTCTAGATTCTAAAAGATCCTGAAGCTGGGGCTCGAATACTTTGGCCAGAGAAGACTCCCTGGAAAAGACCCCGATGTTGGGAAAGTGTGAAGGCAAGAGGAGAAGGGGACGACAGAGGACGAGATGGTTGGACAGTGTCATCGAAGCTACCAACACGAATGTGACCCAACTCCGGGAGGCAGTGTGGAAGACAGGAGGGCCTGGCCTGCTCTGGTCCATGGGGTCACAAAGAGTTGGACACGACTAAACAACTAAACAATAACAACACTAGATTCTAAGAGTTACCAACCGTTTCAGAAGAGGTGGCCCCATTAGTCTATGCTAGCATGTCAGGCAAAAAGAAAAAAACAGTCATGTGTATTGATGGCATCCACTGCGGTACTGGAGAGAAAGAGTTGTGTGTCATCAGCATACTTTCTTGTGGGCAGTTCCAAACGTATGTGCTGTTTTTAATGTCCCAAATTCAAATGGCTTCCTGGATGGGAACAACTGCAGCATGCGTGTTGGTTTCAAACTCTTCTGCAGCTAGCCATTTGGAATTTATGGCCATATGGAATTTAGGGCAGTAACATGCAATCTGGGGGGCCCCAATCAGTGGTCCCCTCCATAGACAATGTCTGTCACCAGGGTACACTTGATTTAAATCACGATTTTTTGGTTGGTAATTTAAACTTTTAAAAATTGATTTTTTATTTAAATATAGATTTAATTCAATTTGATTTGATTTAAAAATGATTTTTATCTGTCCTGTGTGTGAGACCAATAAATAGCACCAGAGTAAACAGGCAGTTTTCTCAGTGGAGGGGTGTCAAACATTTGATGCAAATAAAGGAAAATTGTGCACTTGGGACAAAATATTTCAACTTGATATGGCCGGGTTTGAGCTGGGTGGAGGCCCTAACCCTTCTTTTACATACATTCTTATACAGTGGTGCCTCGCTTAACGAGCGCATCGTTTAATGATGAATCCGCATAGCGATCTGTTTTTTTCAAATCGCTAATGCGACCGCATTGTGATGTTTTAGTGGGTAAAACATCGCATTGCGACGATCGGTAAGCATTTCGCTTACCGATCTTCATATTGCGATGTTTTTTTTAAACAGCTGATCGGCGGTTCCAAAATGGCCGCAAAATATTTCAACTTGACATGGCCGGGTTTGAGCTAGGTGGAGGCCCCAACCCTTCTTTTACATACATTCTTATACCTTTAAATACCCAGCAGTCCCCACTCACCTTTCCTTTGTGGTTTGAATGCAACAGAGGTGAGGGGCATATATTTCCTCATATCTGTTCTTGCTGGTTGTAACACTTGTCTCTGTATTGCTCACATCCAGATGTTTTGCAGCTTGTTCATTTCCTTGAAGCAAGCAGTTTTACAGAAGCAAGATAGCGATAATGGTTCATAGGTCAAGAGCAATATGGCAATGGTTAGTCTAACTGTTGTACCTGAGTTTATGCTGCAAGTTTGGGCTCCATAGGAACGCATTAAACGCATGCGTTCCTGTGGGCTTTTCTGTTCCGTTTAGCGATGTTTCCACATAGCGACGATTAATCCAGAACGCATTAACGTCGCTATGCAGGACACCACTATACCTTTAAATACCCAGCAGCCCCCACTCACCTTTCCTTTGTGGTTTGAATGCAACAGAGGTGAGGGGCATATATTTCCTCATATCTGTTCTTGCTGGTTGTAACACTTGTCTCTGTATTGCTCACATCCAGATGTTTTGCAGCTTGTTCATTTCCTTGAAGCAAGCAGTTTTACAGAAGCAAGATAGCGATAATGGTTCATAGGTCAAGAGCAATATGGCAATGGTTAGTCTAACTGTTGTACCTGAGTTTATGCTGCAAGGAGACCCCTTCAGTAGTGCTCCTGTAAAAACCTATTATATTGTAACATTGAAAATACTGTACAGTATATAGTCCTGAAGAGCCTTAAGTATTATTCTTGGTTTTTTCCCATCCTAAATAAATTTGGTCATTATTTTATTCATTTCTTTTAAAAAGTCTTGTTTTAATAATATTGGAATTGTCTGAAAGAGGAAAATTAGCTTTGGCAATATATTCATTTTTATTGTTGCTATTCTACCTATTAGGGATAATTGGAGTTTAGACCATTTCTGCAAATCTATTTTGATTTCTGTCATAACTTCCATATAATTGTCCTTTATTAATGTACTTGGGTTTTTTTTTTGTTTTTGTTTTTTTTTTGGTCATATTAAAGTACCTAACCTTACACGTTTCTTGACATCCGGAGTGTTTTCGTAATTCTTTCTTCTTTTGCCATATTTTTCATCAGAATTTTTGTTGTTTATTTATTTTAAGACCTGACATACATCCATATTCAGTTATTGTCTTTCAGGACAATAAACAAAGAGGAGGGTTGGGCCTACCAGACTGGATGAATTATTACAGAACAGCAACTCTGTCCTGGGTGAGGGAATGGGTTCTTCTCCAAAATGGGAGACTTTTAAAAATTGAGGGGCATGATTTAGGGCTAGGCTGGCATGCCTACCTATGGTACCAAGATGATAGGCAATGGAAAACATTTAATTTACATTTGGAAGACAGTTAAGGCACAACATTATAGACAGATACCATTATGGGTAGCTCCATTAGAAGCTGTAACAATTACCCAGCTTTGGCTTGGGTAGAAGATTATTGGCATGTACGAATGAGAGCTGTTGGGAGGCAGAGCCAGAGAAACTAGAAGGAAAGGGTGAGTCGGAGTCTAGTCAGTTCAGAGAGAGACAGTTTTAGAAGGCGTTTGGGGGTTTGAGGCAGAGAGAGTGTTTAAGGAGTGATTAGTCAGAGTGTGACCTGTATTAAGATAGAAGAGGTTAAAGTAAAATACTGAAGCTTTGTGTAACATTAAGAATGTGCTTAAGAATTATTCCTGAAACAACCTGTAATCAATAAACCTGTTTCTGTTTAAAAGTTCAGTACTGAATAGACCTTAGTCTTTCATAGGAAATATAAGTTGATAAAGAGATCAACTGGTGGCAGCGTGTTAAAGGGCATGTTGAGATACATTCGTGAGCTCTATGTTTGGTGAAAGAAACAGGGGCCACAGGGTAAACGCCACAGAAGCATTCTCTGATCCGGCAAGAACATTTCAAGGGAGAAACGGGAGATATGCCTACTTTCATTTTGCAACAAAAATGTAGGGGGAAAGCAGAAATCATTCCCCCCCTGCATTTTCTTTGCAGAATGTGGAGAGGGAAGCTGCTTTTTGCAATGAAAATGTAGGGGGAAAGCAGGAGCTTTCCTCCTTCCACTTTCTTGCAAATAAAGAAATTTTGATTTTGAAAAGTTTTATACATGGGGCATCTTATACATGGAAAAATACAGTACCATTCTCAATTTCTGTTACATTTAGTCACTATATACAGTGGTGCCTCGCTTGACGAGGATAACTCGTTCCAGCAATATCGCTGTAGAACGAAATCGTTGTCAAGCGAAAGTAAAAAAAAACCTTTGAAATGCATTGAAAACCGGTTCAGTGCATTCCAATGGGGAAATACCTCAGAGTCCAGCGAAAATCCTCCATAGGGTGCCCATTTTCCGGTGCCTGTATAGCGAGGAATCCGTCCTAAAACACAGCGGGGAGCTGTTTTGATCGTCGTTAAGCGAAAAATTGGTTCCCAAAGCAGGGAACTGATCGTCGTTAAATGAAAAAATCCCATTCAAACATCGTTAAGCAATTTCTTCGTCTAACAATGTAGTCATCAAGCGGGGCACCACTGTATATGAACTTAAAACACTGTGAATGGCAATTGCTTTATTATTACCTTTCTGTCATTCTCTCTTGTCAGCTCCTCTCTAGATTGTGTCTAAATCGGACTATATACATTTCTCAGCAGAATCTTCTTAAAACATCATGAAAACCACAGATAATTTATGCAAGAAGAAGTTTATGCAGGACGTCCTTGAAGATCTGGACACTTCTGATCTGCAAAGTCTCCAATCAATATTAAATACAAAAGAAATAAATGGGACAACTATTCCAAAATCCAAATTAGAGAAAATAGATCCTATTAGCATAGCTAATGTGCTTATTAGCTATCATGGGTCTGACTGTTTGGAGACACTTCGGGATGCATTGGCTGACATTCCCAAGAAACAACTCGTCGAGAAAATTTCTAATAAAATAGAAGATGATGAGCATAAAGGTATTCACAGCAATTAATTTTTGAAATAGCACTTATTTTTGCTCATAATGGTGTCTTCCTAATGTTGCATGCTTTCAGTTAATCCCTAAGAGTATCTCTGCAGTTAACAATCCTCTCCATACACATTTGCTCTGCTAAATTTTGTAAGAGATATAAACAGTGCAAGTATATATATATTAGGGTGTGTGGTAGGATAAAACTCTGATAGAATATTTAATTACCTCGAATATTAATGTCTATGCACTGCTATTTTACAAAGATATAATATTGAAAATTGTTCCAAAATTTTATCTCAATTCTAATTTTTTTATATTTAAGGTAGTTAGATACTTTCCATACATCTAAGAAAATAATGGCTGCTTCTTTGTCCGTTAACCTATTTAGGGATTGTGGCAATTTCTCTATTTAGCTGAAAAATGTTTTAAGAAGATAACTTTCTGATTTGTGGGGAAAATTAATTTAACTGTCCCCAAAGGTTAAATCAGTGCTGTCCAATAATTCCCAATTACTTACAACAAAAATTTGCACAACAAAAATTCCTTAAAAGCTCATTGGAAAAAAATAGTTGCCATAACAGTAAATCAGAGTGCAATGGAGATTTCATGGAAGAAGCAGTAAAACCAATATACATAAACTTAAAAATTATATTGCTGATATCTAACACCAAATATGTCTCAAATAAGGCCTTGAAAATAATAGATAGCAATTCCTGTCAGGCGGGTGTAGGAGATGTATGTTTGCAAGGCAGAAGAAGACATAGGCCTCTTACTGATTTTTTTTTTACCTCAACGGCAGGAAAATAAAGTAACAAGGTTAGTAACTTTTTTCCCTGATCCAAAAAAATGAGATCCACAGCCACTTTGCAAATCACTTAATATTGTGTTGAGGCAGTATTTGCCAAAACAAATTTTTAACTTTAATGTTATATCCAGAAAAGCAGAAAACTGAAAGTCGAAAGGAAGAAATTGATGGTATCCCAGCAAAGAAGCAAAAACTTCAGGACCTGCCATCATACAGTGGTATGTACTCGTTCACTCAAAAGGTCTAGAGCAGAGATAGCGAACCTATGGCACGCGTGCCACAGCTGGCATGCAGAGCCCTTTCTGCCAGCATGAGAGCCATAAGTTGCCGGATTGCTAATCGCGCGCGCGCGCGCACACGCACACGCACATATGTACTCGTTCACTCAAAAGGTCTAGAGCAGAGATAGCGAACCTATGGCACGCGTGCCACAGCTGGCATGCAGAGCCCTTTCTGCCAGCATGAGAGCCATAAGTTGCCGGATTGCTAATCTCTCTCGCGCGCGGGGGTCTCGAGGCACCTCCGTGCCGGGATGCCCACTTCTGCTGCCACTTCCACTGCAGCCGTCGCCACTTCCGGTGCTGCCGCTGTGGCACACCGTCTGCTGATTTGTTCCCCCCCCTCCCAGTTTGGGCATGTGAGCCCAAACAGGTTTGCCACCACTGGTCTAGAGCATAAATTCTGATTCTCCCCATGTATTATAATTAGTACACAATTATTTATCTGTTGTGCACTTTTTAAATTGCATTTTATATATTCTAGCCATATGATATGTCTTATGAGCTGGTGAGCTGACCGTAATAAATAAGTAAGTAGAAATTCAGGCCATGCGGTGCCCATTGTAATCATTCAGAGAAGTCTGTCTCTAAAATGACAATTGATAACATTTTTCAGGAGTACATATAATATGGAAATACCCGTTTTAGCCTTTTGAGCTGAGGTTTGTACACCTAAATCTTTTAAAGAAACATTACAGTATTTTGTTTTCCTGATACAGTCGACCCTCGACTTACGGAATTAATCCATATTGGAACGGTGGCTGCAAGTCAAAAATTCCGTAGGTCGAGGGTCCATTTCCCATAGAAATGCATTGAAAACCATTTAATCCGTTCCAGCCAAG